CCCGATATAACGTGATTTCTGCTTGCCACAAGAGTTTGTGTGCGTTTGTGACCTTCTAGGCCTACTTCTAGAATTGCCTGTGTTGGTTCTGCACCAAAGTGTAGGCTAAGGCTGCCCTCGATCTAGATACGTCTCATTGAAAACACGCCAAGTTGGTACCGTAGCTCTAGACTAGATGCTCGTCCAATGAAATTAGTTGAGAACAAATTGACCCATTGGACACACATTATGTAGATCTATAATGCCAAAGATAGTGTTGTTTTCAGACTTGACACCGCTTCACTCAGTGGCAATTGACAAAAAGTCAATTTTTGTCAATTGCCACCGCGTCACTCGGTGGCAATTGATGCTACCATAATATATTAGTTAGTCAAATTATATTAGCTTAGCAACAACAAACGGCACTACTTGGATATGGTGGTCCCGACTTTTGTGACAGGGAAATAACCCAGAGAAAATCTAAAATCTAGTTTTGACCCCAACGACGATTACTTCTGGTTTTAAGTCTTTACGATTACTTTTTGATTCGCTTGCCGAATGGAGAGATAGCCTTTCAAACCTAATTGCAAAACATGAAGTCGTGGTCAAATTCAGTGGGGCATGCCCCTCTGAAACACCCCTTGCCTTGTTGGGTTTTTTTAAGTCAGGGAGGCAACCCCCCTTGCCTTGCCTTGTGAAAAACGAGTGAAATTTTACTGCTCATTTTGTAGGCTAGATTGATTAGATCGAATCTAATCTAGATCTAGAACTAGATCTAGAATCTAGATCTAATCTACTTCTAAGCTACTGATAAATCATGAAACATTGATATACCGACTATTTAAATCTGTATCGATATTTCAGTAGGCCTGACACGAAAGTCGGGACCACCATATCCAAGAAGTGCCTTACAACATCACAATGTGAATAATGACAAAAGTAACATGGGGGGAAATGCCTGGATGGATAGCTTTCTAACCTTCCTTTTTCCACCGTGAGGTTGATATTTAATTCTCTTCCAAAATGATTTCTGAAATTGGCTTTTAAACATAAAACAATCATTAAATCGACAACAAGATCTTGCAGTTTTTTCGTTGTATCTGAGAATTCTGATCTCACTTCGTTGCACTTCGTCGAATTGTAATGAGATCACAGAATCAAAGTAAACAAAGTTTCTTCCCCTTTGTTATGATCACTCTTTTGCGTTGTGGGGGCTACTCTGGTAGAGAGAGTATCTTGGGTTTTTTTCTACAGAAACACCAGAGAGTATAAAATGGCCGGCACTATTTCTCCGAACGTTCGGGAAAATAAAGCTGGGCACTATTTCTCCGAACACTCTGAAATCACACCCTTTCCCGCATATTTCGGATAATAAAAATAAAATATAGATCTATAATTATATTATAGGCCTACCAAAGATTGTTCGTATACAATATGGTTC